TCCCGAGTGATCCCAATTATCCAAATATTATCTGGTGTTAATATATCTGGGTATTCCTTGGTTAGCTATTTGAGTAAACAAATACAGTCGTTAAACGCGCGATACACACATTAATAATACTATTTGCATTTTTATTTTACACGTACGTTAAATAATTTACCTGATGAAAATCAAATAACTGGTCATCCCCTTTGTCATCTATCTTTTTGAGTGTCACACATGTCAATTCATTTGTTCTCCAATCTGCTATATGTGTGCATCCATGGCGTGATGATGTCATCTCTTGTATGTTTGTCAATAAAGAGTATTCAATCCATTGTATATAAGCATCATCCTTATTCCTTGTATTACTCCACGACTTCATAATGAATGAATCCAGTGACTTGCTGCCAGTCGTCCAATCAACAGGTTGTGGTGCTTTACAATAATAGCAGAATAGATTCTTATGTTCTAAGTGCCATGTACACGCCAGACATAATCTACGCCCGTCATATTCTTTTATTAGACAATACTCTCCCCATCCATTGTATGTGAATCCGATGGTAGCCCAAACATCTGTGCTAAGAATATCTGGATACCTATCACATAACTAGTGGAAATGATAGTAATAAGTCAGTAATTGTAAACTATTCAATAAACATGATGCATAAGTAAATTGTTTACCTCAGCATAATATAAATCATGTGTCTCGTCTGTTATTTCAAGTGGAATCAATTTAACATCACGAGTTGGTAAACCATATAAGTCTACGTCATCATCCAAATCAATATTAATACTATAACTATCAAATGGAATCCATTCCAAGTAGGCATCATTTGCTGAGTCTGTTTGTAATTGAGATTTCTTGATAAACTCATCGAGTAGCTTATTGTTGCTAGTCCATCCATTGGATAATTGTTTATGACCGCAAATGCACCACACGGGACTGCATCGGAGTATTCCACATGCAGTGCAGAAGCCATAGCGGGAATAGCAATCGTAAAAGTGTTTATCAGCAACCATGTAATAGCTGTTATCATACTTGATAAATCCCTTTATTAGTTTGTTGCGGCGGTGAAGCCATGTGGAATATCTTCTAAACTGATTAACGCCATTATTGTATTTGTGCGTTGGGAGTGAGTATATTCTGGCAAACTCACTCACAAATGTTGGTGTACATTCTTCGTTGTTTCCAAGTAGGAAAAGCATTATCGCGTCAGGGCCATAATGACTAGCGTAGTAGACATTGTCAATTTGAGTTGGCTTTATGTCGGTAATTTGCGAGCAAGGGATCCATTCTAATTCAAGTCTTAAGTATTTATTTTTACTTTCCAAGGAGGATTGAATCAAGCTGTCAATTGCTGGATTATCAACAACTCCTAATACTAATGCTAACGACATTGATCAAGTGAACAAATCTGCAAATGTGCATATTAATATGTTAATTTTATGTTACGTATGCTTGTGTTACATTGCATATTCCTTTAACGTAAGGTTATAATTTTATTATTTATTCTATTTTGCTTTATTCGTTATAGCCACTTTTTCTCTTCATTATTCATGTCATGCTAAAGCAGTATGCCGTAAAATATATACAGTAACTACTAGTATATTAATGTTATATAAAATTATATTCGCTCACCGTTATTTTCAAAACGGTGTCGCAACTAATTTAATCCTCTATGCTTCAATGTGCCAGCTTTTAACAGCATCGCACGGTTGTAACTGGTAGCTTTGCGGCTCTTGCTAGCTCAGGCACAGAACTGAGATAAAGAGAGTAACTGTCGTTCATACGTGATAGATTTTAGCTACCTATACTAATTACGTGATTAATTCTAGGTCACAATTATTGCCGCACTGTATAAATATTAAATTATTAGCAAATATTGTCAACACAACCCAAATAAAAGGTCAAACCTTTCTTGCATTTTCCAAAATATCAATAAACTAAAATGTCTCAGGTCATTGGCATGCTCGCTATCGATTCAATGAAATTTGTCCTCATCTATTAAAGCAATCGTTACACATTCCTTTCCACTTAAACTCTTATGTTGTCGTCTTTTCTATAATACAATAAATTCTCATAAAAGAAAGCTATGTTCAATTTCATGCGCTCCCATCGCGCGATATTTCTATCTGGATGTTGTTATAAAGTCATTCAGCCAATAAACTGAAGCAATTCCCATACAAAATTGTTTTGCCATCACTAACGTTGCCATACACATTTCTATATACAGTACATGATTCCTGTCTAGATAACAAACTAATTCGGAATATAAAGTAAGATTATAGCGCATTCACTTGTAATACAATGCACAAGAAGATATAAAAATGTATTGCTATTATTTTTTTCTCGAAAAGCACAAGAAACGAGTTTTCAAAACCACAAGCCGCTTGTATAGTATCCATAGGCAAGGAGAGATTTTTGAAAAGACAAACTTTTCATAGTGAAAATTTGTGTTACCTTGGAGCATATGCACTGTGGGTTAAGGAAAAGAAATTAATATCCACTTCAAAGCGCGTCAATCCACTTAGGACAGCAATAATAATCCTAATTCATATTTAACTCTTAAATGTTATTTAGTACAGTCAACCATCTTTATAGCCACCCCCTCTATAAGCACATCATATAAAAACCTCTTATAAGCACACCATGTTTGAGAACCAATTACTAATGAACTTATAGGAAAAACCCTCTATATAGTCACACCTCTTTATAAGCACATTTCAACAAAAGTTGCATTGTTCCCAACAGCGTGACTATAGAGGATTGACAGTACTTTGAAAATAAGTTTAATTTTAGAACAAAACTTAAAAAGGCTAGAGATATTGTGATGAATTGTGTCTCATATAATAATAACTGTTGGCGCGCATTTAAAGAGCTTGGCACGAAAGTGCCCTTTCAAATTGCTTAAATGTGTATTTTATCATCATTGCTATTTTTGAGACTTTCCTCGGTACCATTTATAATATTGTTTGGCTCACGTAGTCGCAAAATTAGGCAAGCATCAGCCGATTGCCGCGACAATTAATATAAATCTATTAAGAGTCACGTGATGTAACACGATCAATAAAACGAGTGGATTTTCAAGTTTTTATGTTCTCGTCTCTTTGCTGGGAATAGTAATGGTACGAAACCACCGCGTTTTGGAATTCTACTCGGGTATCGGAGGAATGGTATTATCACATAGCCCTCCTTTTTCATCTAATATCGTGTCATTTTTTCTATACTCAACGTTCGTTCTCCTTCCAAAAGCACTATGCATTTAAAGCGTCCGGACACACTGGTGAAATACTCGCTGCGTTCGATATCAATAATACAGCCAATGAAGTATATAGGTATAATTTCTGTAAAGAGGGGAGGGATGTTGTTGTTCAAGTATGCGCGTGTTTCTATGTCTTTCTTGACGATGCATTTTTAATGAGATCTGATCGCTGTCGACTAACTTGTGCACATCATACATTTTCCTTTGTCCTTTCTTCCTTCCTTTTGACTCTCCGAAGCGTAACATAGACTCGCTGCCATACACTTACTTCTCTTCCTTCGCGGCAACACTTTGGCTCCTCTCACCACCCTGTCAGCCGTACACACGTACAGGCCTTCAGAAAGGTTGCGCTGATGAGAGAGCGAAGTCATTTTTGCATGTCATGGATGTTTTGGGGAATATGGAAAGAGAAAACATGCCGGAATTTTTGTTGGTGGAAAATGTTCGCGGATTTGAAGTATGTGGGATTCGATTATTATTACAAGTAATGAAGTCCAAATATACAGTATTATCGGCATCTTATGGGATGGCATATATGTAAATTAGCGTAATAGTGCATGTATTTGGACGTAGAACATGACTGGATTGATATCATGCTACTACAACACGACGTTGTCTATTACAAACATTTCTTTTACTCTCGTACAGACGTCATCAACACGGGGGGCTTTAATATCCAGATTGACGTCTCTAAATTATGCATATCAAGAGTTTCTAATATCTCCCATACAACTAGGCATTCCTAATTCAAGGTTGAGATATTATTTACTGGTAATGTTCGATTAATGAAGTGTGTTCTTTCACATGTTAATTCTAGAAACTGCTTACATTTTCCGTACGAGTTATTCAATTTGCGCAATACAAGCCTATTGACGGCATTGTTTATCCTTTATCTCTTTTATGGCGTAGGCAAAGAAACTTCCGCGCGCATTCTCCCCCGCTCTTCCTGCTATAGATCAAGTCCACAACCATATTCCCAGATATATACCTGAACGTTCTTCACACACAAAGCAGATTAAAGACTATTTGGAGAAATTGGATGCATCCGAGGGAGAAAAGTACAGGATCAAGGAGAAGGTGAAGAGTGGATGAATGTGCGAGGATTGAATGTGCGAAATCTTCTCATTGACATGTGGAAAAGAAACGTGTGCAAAAAAAGTTGTCTTATTATTTTATTGTTGTTGTAGACGTTGGTAAAGTATGGACAGCTTTTTGGTAAGCACTTGTAATTCACGCGCTCACGTAATTTGTCGTAACTTAGCCGTTTACTTCTTCATCAAAGATGTTGTGAAGCCATCATCACAGCAAAGTTGCTGCTTTACTAAAGGTGGGAAATTAGCCAATGGGCATGAATCAAAATATTTATTAGTGAAAATATTCTCTTTATCGTTATTGGTATAACAGATTCGCGGATAGCACTTTAATGAATTCTTTTTACTTGTCATTCGTTGATTAGGCTATTATCACTATGTGGAAGCGAGAGGATCAATCATTCAAATGAATGAAGATATTGATGTAAGTATATGACAGTAACATAGTCATCCCTAAATACTTTCTCACAATACACTGACTGACCTGCAACCCCGAAAGACAACCGCATTCTTCTCAACAGATACAACCACAAGCACAGTTGCTGCAGCTACTGTTGGCGCCGATACGGTTGCCACATCCGCGTCCACGGCTGCATCCACTTATGCCATTCTCAACCTCCGCTACTTCACGCCGAGTGAAATCTCTGCTATTCTGGGCTTTCCTCGCGATTTCTCATTCCCTGAGCATATAAGCCTCAAGCAGCGATATAGGCTCTTGGGTAATAGTATTAGCGTCGAGGTTGTAAAACGATTGATTGCATATTTATTGGATGAATGATGACGGAAGGGAAATAATAGAGCGTTTTCGATAGACCGTTATTGAAACGATTACCAGTGAATTATAAACAAGAATTTATGTTTCACTTTAAGATTCTTTTTTATTCCCGATTACTGTATGTTAAACCCCCATTATGACTATCTCTATTAACGGAAAAAGGTATATAACTTTTGTCGTATTCGATTATTTCGCGAAAAAGAAACTTTATTTATTCTTTCATTCAGAATTCATCGATGTAAAGTGAAATGAATAAAGTGGGAAATAATGATGCATAATCCGGTATAACATTCTTTCTGGGTTTATGTATTTTGCGCAATTTCTAACGGCAGCATTTGCGCTCTTTTATTTCAAAACAAGTGCGGGCGTGACTGGTTATATCAATAATCGCAAAATATTAACATTGGACTCGCAATTATTATAGTCCAATTTCAACGTTATTGATTTACAATGTATTGATAGAATAAAATATTAAATAGTAAACACATCGACCCTATTTGTTAAAACGGTGACATTTTGCTTATTACGAACTGATCTATTTACACGAATTAGAATCGTCATCTGCACGCATAACGTCATCGAGAATTAATTAGTAAAATTTGAGAAGGGATGATTGACATTTAGAAATTAAACCTTACCAGAAACTAAAGATGTAATAAACTTTATTATTTAGAAGCAGTCAATCCGAAATACAGTAATAACACTCACCCTCTGGTTTGTTGCATGAATATCAATCAGGTGATCAGAGAACCTAGTTATAGTCTGCCAATAGACCGATTCATCAAATTTCTTTTTGATAATGTTTGCTTGGCAATCATTAATCATCATACAATATTAGGATGTTCGTTCCTGCTTGTGAATCGAGGAGAGCACAAGTAAATTTTTCGACACTTTTGTGCAACTATAACTATTGGATAATTGTCACTTGTTCATCGTTTTAGTACGGTTTAGGACTATTAAATATTTTCTTCGTAAAGATCTCTCCCGATTATTGAACGGTGGGTATATCTGAACGTACGCCAAACACTTGCGTTCAAAATTGCTAGCATACTGATAGAGTTTCTATACCTGTAGTGCTGTGCTTTTTACCAGAAACGAAAGGAAACGAGTTAACAATAAATTATGGACACTCTCACTGATGAGGGTTACAATGATGTATGCGAAGAGCCAAAGAACGAAATACCCATACCGCATTGGGTAACTGCATTAACAGAGGATCAAAGAGTTGGTACGTGTGGTTATATAGCACTACATCCTACTGGTTACATCCGCAATGGCTGCTAAAAGATCATATTTAATTGTTGAATCAAAACTATATATACAAACTAACGATTTGTTAAAGAGAGGGGGAAGGGAGAAGGGGGTCGACTCATATGCCTTTGAATTTCACTTGATATCTGACTTTTTCACCCATTCAAACGAATTGTACTTGGATTCTAGAATTCGCTGTTAGCTTATTGCTAACGTTGCCGACATCGAAGCTCGCCGAAATTCATCACCGGATTGCCCCACTGCTTCATAGGGATTTTCTGGCGGTATATAGTTAATATTGCCTCAAATTTATCTCACGTCCGGGATAACTGATACTAACTACTTTTTTCCTTTGTTAAAAAACCGTATAGCTTTTACCCTACGAGCTATCAATTCACGTTCTTTCATTCCTCGATGCGCCAACGCTATGTTGTGCAGCTCGTGTATCGAAAAAATGGAGGGAGATTACTTCTGATGGGATAATTTGGAGACGTTTGTTCTTGGAGAAGGGATGGTCGGTGAACAAAAAGTTGGTCGACTGGTATCTCTCAAGCTATACAGACCCATACGCATCAATGATTTTACCGAGTAATGATGTAACAAATAATGGATTGATTGATACTGGTGATGGTTACAATATGGATAGTATGCAAGATGAAACCGCTGACTCTGAACTGTCTGTTGGCTCCAGCGATGAGTCAAGCATAGTGGTAAGAGCTCCAAGACGCAGTATTGCAGACCGAAATGATCACAGAACCTCACAATGTTCTGGGTTTCATGGTCACCTTAATTCTCAAGACATGAACAATACACAATATGGTTCGTCAGCTGACCTGGATGCGTCACAATCGGGTTCGCCTAGGCGATGTTCGAGTGCTGGACCGTCTACTATACACAATACATCAAACATTTCCCAAGCTTATAATAGTAACGAGGAACTGTTGGATTCGAGCAACCAGATTTTGGATATGCAAAATATCACCTCAGCAAGTCAATTCTCGAACGGCATTGCTTCATTAAGCAGAGGAACGTTGCTGCGACACTGCTTACCGACTGCTTCGCGGACTCGACGACGCCAACAAATTCAATTACCTCCTACACCTATCCCTGCACACTTTCCGTTTCCACCATCTGCATACACTCCTTACAATTTGCTCATGCATCGAAATCAAGCAGGCATGCCAAGCATTAATTGGAAATACCTATATCACCAGCGCTCACGTCTAGACTCGAAATGGCGACAAGGAAGATACGAAACCCGAGAATTACCTGGCCATTCTGAGAGTATTTATTGTATTCAATTCGACGAACACAAAATAATCAGTGGAAGCCGTGACGATACGATCAAAGTTTGGGACATTAAAACCGGTTACTGTGTAAGAACTTATCGAGGACACAAAGCTTCTGTTCTGTGCTTACAGTACGACGACAAGATTATTGTCAGTGGAAGCAGTGACGCTACAATTATTATATGGGACCTTGCTACAGGAGAAATTCTTCGCACATTGGAGGGTCACACGGAAAGTGTACTCAATCTTCGCTTCAACGAGACTCACATTGTTAGCTGTTCAAAGGACCGTACTGTCCGGATATGGCGCCGTGACAGTTTGAAGAAACCTCGAGTATTAGAGGGACACAGAGCCGCTGTCAATGCTATACAGTTTCAGGATGACTATGTTGTTTCTGCTTCGGGTGACCGTACTATCAAGTTGTGGTCTCTTTCAACTGGGGAATGTATTCGGACGTTTGATGGTCATTCTCGAGGAATAGCATGCATACAATTTGATGGCAGAATTATAGTTTCCGGATCAAGCGATAGAACAATAAAAGTGTTTGATGTTCAAACGGGCCTTTGTATCCGAACATTAGTTGGACATGAAGATCTTGTCCGGACTTTACAGTTTGAGGGAAATAGAATAGTTAGCGGTAGTTATGATGAAACGGTTAAGGTTTGGGACCTTCAGTCGGGTGAATTGATCGCTAACTTGGCACATGTTCATAATAGCAGGTGAAGAATCTACTTGTGAAAGAGCTTGTGAATTTAACTTGATTATTATTTCGCTTATTGACATTTTTCCTCTCTGGATGTTTTTTTATGGCTATAGGGTCTTCAAGTTGCAATTCAATGCTACAAAGATCGTCAGTTGCTCGCAAGATCAAAAAATAGTAGTCTGGGACTTTGCACGTGGAATAGATACAACATTTTTAGTATGAACATAAACTGTGTATGGGCACAGAGATGGACTGTATATGGACGATATAGACAAATCTACATCAGACTTGTGTCCATAGAGTATGTCGACAGAAATTGTAAGATTTTACAAATCTGGATAATTTTTGTACGGACGCATGTTATATACAATACAAAGCCCTGGTGGTGAACACATTCGCATTTAGTTAGAATGGCAGACAATATGGCAGAAATAAAATTGCATGTTATGACAAGCCGCAGTCTCATTAATGGTAGACAAGTCGAAATATTTGATAAAAAGACAATTGTACACGTTACGTGAATAGCTAACTGTACAGCGCAGCAAAACCATCGTGTGCTACCTCAAATTAGTCGGGTTTCTCAAGGCTGTCAGCTGATTCAACAGAATTTGTCGTAGAAATTTCTATAATTTGTATATCACAATAACAAAGCCGAACCTTTTCTTTGGTTGTCTGATTTACATGATGAACGTTCTTTACGTATTCCCAACACAATGTTATTAAGCAATAAACCAATGAAAATATGTATGTATTATGTAACAAAGTACTATATCTTTTATTTTTGTTTATGTTCAAAGCGTATACAGTGAGGATCGCCAATCCTGTGAAAACAAATATTTATAAACAACTTTGTGCTCTAATAACAGTTACAAAATTCTTCTCAAAAATAAGAACCCAGTCTAGAAATGCTCTTTATGGAAACTGAATTTGATGTCTGGATTCGCAGCTTTTTTACATGCTACTTTTAAGGTCCTGGCCAGAGGTGCAGGTCCACAATAATATACACCAACGTTAGTTGGTCCCTTGTCCTTTCTAGGCAAATATTTCCCAGACTGAATAGATTTTGTCAGATCATCAAACACTTGTCCAAAGTTAGGACGCCCGTAGTGAGTTCTGCTAGTAAGATCCGTCAACGGGTCGTAAGTCCCAGACACGTCATTAATGATGATATTCTGGATCGTAGATTGTCTAAGTTTTTGAGTGAGGTAAATATTGAAAGTCAAGAATCCAGGTTCCATCTGAGATGCTTCCAGTGCTTTAAGTAGAGACTGGAACCATTCAAAAGCCTCTGTATCACGGCAGATCCAATAGAATTCAACACGGCGAAGTTTAGATGGGCGACTATTACGATGCTGGTACCTACGAAAGGAAAAGGCGGTCGGATTAACAACAATCAATTGGGGCATCGAGATTAGTCAAGTATGATTTGTCTAGATAAAGACTTACCATATATTCTTGAGAATGGAAGCGAATGGAGTGACTCCGATACCACAACCAACTAGAATAACGACCTCGTTATCAAATACATCTTCGGCAGGGGCACCAAACGCACCATCAACGCGAATTGTGGGCAACGAATCAAACTTGTTTTGGATGACGACTGATTCTGTCTTTGATCTCTTGCCCGAGCCATTATTGCAACCAAGTAGATCGCCAAGTGCGGTTGTAAAGTCACCGACTTGTCTCACATGTATCGATACATACTGATCATCTGGAGCCGATGTAATCGTGAAAGGATGCCATTGCCACTTGGAGATTGCGGGAACGTTGAGGAAGAGATACTGACCGGGCTTGTAGCGGAAACTTCGCTTGTCGAATTGAATTTCAATGGCCCGCTCGGGATGGGCGATGACCTTTGTGATTCGAGTGGCTCGTCGAGAACGAATTTCACGCAACACGCGCTCAAAAAAGTAGATGACTCCACCAACCAATGCGTATCTATACGAGTAATACGGCTTACATACGTGATTGGCAGTCCTGACGAAACATCCGTATGCGTGGAAGTAAAGACAGAGCATGAAGAAGAAGGAAAGGTGATGCGTATACCAAAAAGTCTCAAAGCTCTGATTTCGCATTGGAAGGTAAGCCGAGGTGTACATGAGTACCATGATCAGTAGCATAAAGTGACCGGTGAGACCTGCCCACGTTTTGTAGTGGACGGTCCAGGTCGGGAACAGTCCGAGTACTTCCACTTTGAAAAAGTTGATGTAATGAGCAAACGTATGTATCAACGTAAAGAATAGCATTGCATATGCAACTTGACGATGGAACCAAAGGTTTTCGTCAAAGGGTATGAGTCTATTAAGGAAGGTAAGCCGAAGGTATTTGATAATGTTTCTGCATACTGGCAGAAGGATTAGGGAGCAGTCGTAAGCGAGACACAGACCAGCACCACGCGAAGTCCATACGGACAAACCTATGCTGTTGAGAGTGGCGAGTGAAGCATCGTCCTTTTGTTTAAAGAAACCATAGATGAAGAGGCCTATATGAGAGCCAAACCAAAATATCCAAAAAGCCAGACGCTTTGGGGCAAACTCTCTTTGGAAGAATGTCTCGTCCGTCATTTTCCAGCAATGACAACAATGATAGTTTAAATATTGTTAAAATGTTATATAGAGCGGTACTGTCAAAGTACTCGTTATTATCGTCTACGGGCGAAGAGGGAGGGGGAGCACTTTTCAATTGTGGAAAAAAGGATAAGGACAGGTTTGTTTGAGACATATAAATAAATTATAAAAGCAGGGTGGTGACACGATGTTGATCAATAGAGTTTATTATTACTTGTTTCAGACAAGGTAAATTTTAATATAAGGAATCCCAGTCCAAATGAGAAATTAGCTGAAACTCCGGTGCCAACCAGCTAACTTTGATCATGAAGTGACAGTATCGAATGACGATTTTAATTAATGATGCGTCCGTAAATATTGAGCGTATTATCTCAACAGCAGCAGGTAATTTGCACCCGATAAATTAATCATATTTGATAGTTTTTCCCGTTCGAATTGTCCTTGGGTGATATTCGCTGTCCAATAGGAATCAACTCAAACGATTACACCAAGTACCCCTTAATCATGTTTCATCACAAATCGAATTTAGATCTCGTTGCACGTAATACACCACCACTCTTTTTTATTCCATTCTTATTATTCCCACTTTCTTTCACTTACAATTACTCATTTCAACCCTTTGTAATCCCGAACATTGTGTGCATCAGAAACATTAATATACATTACGACTCGACGCTTATACAATTATATTTAGATATCCTACTTCACAGCTATAATATTACATTCGCTGCTTTGCATAGTAGGTAAATCAATTTTTAGTAAGTGATATACTTTTAGGAATAGCGAGATTTTGTGTTCAAAAGTATGCGTCTATGAAAATTATTTGTGTATTTGTTTACTAATTAATTACACATAATCTCCATAAGTCGGTCTCTTGATAATTCGGTCAATATTTGACCGTGTGGTTATTTAATATATAAGCACTCGTTGGCTTACATGACATTTAATAGTGGCATTACTATTTCAAGTTAGCGTATGATTTATTTTAATCATACTCGGTTGATTTGTCAGAGAAATGGGACATGTTGCAACGAAACTAGATAAAGCAGTTTTTCGGGGGGTCATCAATCATCAAGCGCCACAGGTTCAATCCGTATTTTATGTTTCATCATGCTGATTAGTATCAGGATTGCAGAAAGCATTGAATAAAGTGTTTAGAATTGTTTTAAACGTGAATTTACGAACACTAGAGTGATTGCATGGAAGGGAAAATAAAGCCATTGATGAGTATAACCTCTGTTTTGGTCACTGGTGTAAATTTAAATTCTTTACGACTAATATGAGGGTTGTAACTCTAATAATGAAAAATCCAAATATGATTGCATGTTTTTGTTTTTTTTGCTATTTGAAAATGATCGGCAGATGATTACTTACTTGAATCCCCAATCTCAGTTATATTCCAAGCTTATTCCTGGACGGATTTTCTTAAATATACCTCAGTTGTATCCCACTCAGACATTGTACTAGAATACGTCAATCATTGAACGACTTGAATGAAAGACAGGTAATGAGCAATTGAAATAGTTGCTGTCGCTTTATATAGTGCAATCGAGAATATTTACATGCAGAACTACTTGTGCGCAATATAATTCAGCACTCAGATAAATTAGTAGAAAAATCAAACGTCAAACGTTACTGATAGAATTATTACTAAATGAAATTACTTAATGTTGTCTATTGACAACGCTATCGCTATATCGTAGTCTACCCCCCAGATATATCCCAAAAAAGCTTAGGCCCCAAAGTGGGGATACAACAGGTGTATCAGGTGCATTTATTTGGTATTCAAGACAGAGCACTACGCAAACAAACAAGTACATTCTCGATAAAGTCAAAAAGATGCAATTAAACGATTGAATAAAGGCGAAAACAATTTAATCTTGCCAACGACAACGCTAAGATTTTATGCAAGAGTTCTTTACAGTAGACTGCGTGGATCATATTATTGAGGTTGTGAAAGATTAAGCACAGCCGGATTAAAGAAGGGCTTTCAATACTACCAGAAGTGAGTTCAACCGTTAAAAAGTAGTCTATATGAGAAGTAATTTTTACTAGCACGATCGGCCATATGCAATAAGTAAACTTGTTACAATATCTATGTGCGTTTTTATTTTGTAATTTATATAAATATTGTGTAATGGCTGACATCAAAGATAAATATTTTTAATCATAATGCAATCAAAGAAGCTAATTACAATGCATCCTGTATTCTATCTAGGTAAAACTGGTCCTTTATTAGAGAATAGACTTTATGCTTACAGAATACTAATTACTAACACTAACAATAAGCTTTTGGGCCAGCACATGGATAAAGTTTTATGTTACATTTTCTTTGGGAATAGAAAATTGAACATGGTTTACTTATTGAGTCAGAATGCATGAAGTGGATCTTCCTTATTTGGAACTAAAAACTATAAATTAAAAAAATATATGCTTATAAAACTTATAAAAGGATAATATTTTTTGCAAATTGTTAACGTATACTAAATACTAATACAGCATTCCAGTTAATGAACGATATATTAATATTGTAATATTAAATGTAAATTAAATTTTAAATCAGTACTCAATTACTGTGTACCATATATAGTGTCTTCATATTGTTACGATATGATCGAAAGTCCCACGCTATCAATGAAATTACGTTACGGTAAATATAATAATAAACATCGTATTTAATTGGAAGAGGGTATATTGTTTGTGTAACATACAAGTAAACCGTATATTGCAAGTTTTAAAGGTAAAATTATAAATTGAATTTGTATCTTCATACCTGCAGCTAAATCTACAGTAGGTAAGAGCTTACTAGAATATTATTCTCCTCAAGACATGATAGGTCTTTATACATCATTGTGATAGACTTATTCCACATGTTATCTTTGCCAGCCTGATTGTCTGCCCAGCTAGTAATATTGTGAATATATCTATTAAGCATCTCTATATATGGACGCTTATCAGGATCAGCATCCCAACACCGTTCCGCAACTTTTTTATATGCGTCTGGGTATTATAGTGTCGCAGTCCCCCAAAATATCGCATATAAATCTCTTCCTCTATTTCTAAAAGGTAGTTCAAACCAGTAGCAATCAAACACACATGCATATACAGTCAACCCTTTCTATAGTCACGCTGTCGGGAACAATGCAACTTTTGTTGAAAATGTGCTTATAAAGAGGTT